TGCTTGGACATGTGTATTAAGGAATCTCTAAGGTTGTATCCTAGCGTACCACTTTTCGCCAGGACACTTGGAAAGGATGTGAAGATAGGTAAGAAAAGAAGAAAAAAAGAAGAAAAACTTGTACGTTAATTATCCAATAGGCAAAATGTCAGCAGTCTACCGACAGATTGCCGCCAACAAATTCGAGCAAAATATGATATTGCATCCGCATTAGCCTCGTGTTGCAATTGCGTACAGTAAAACAGTCAAAACGTAGCACAAATGGACACAAATAGCTTCTGATAACACTAATGTTAATACATAATAAAATACATAATAAAAACATGATAAAGACATGATTTCAGACATTTACGAAAAAAATGGTTTGGTTAATTATTAAATTCTAATAAAATATGAATGCGCGTGTACATATAGTGCGATGATTCACGGGATCATAATGGAATAAATAATAATAAAAATATTTAAATTTTACTGAAAAGAAACAAGATAGAATCCTAAAAAAGATTACCTATTATTTTTATAATTGCTGATATTCTAATAAAATTCGCGGGCACACGGTATCGACTCAATGTCGGTAATGTTACACGCTACTATGACTTTGCGAATCATTACATCGCACTTACACTTACATCGCTATTACAGATTTGTTTTGTATTTGTCAGTCTGTCACTGTAGATTGTCAGCAAATACGTTACGCTTTTTTTGCGTTTTATTAACAGGATTGTATATATGTGATCCTGTATTAATTCTGCTGCTATTCTACTAATATAATTTGTAACAGATGCTTTGCAAAATCTATTTATTTTATGCGATTCTGCAAATACCTGTCATTTTTATATAGTTTTTTGTTTTTTAATTCTTAATTGTATAATGTAGTTCTTTATAATCACTTATTTATTTTTTGTATAAAATAAAAATTATTTAGATTTTATCGATTCTTATTCGTGAATATTTAATATAATAATTATGCTATATATAAAAAATTGGTTTTGATTATTTTTAAAATAATCATAAATTAAAAATTTTATAATGTTATTTATTTTGCATTATATAGGAAAATACGTAATACCGGCTGGTTGTGGCGTATTTATAGCGCCATATTGTACACATCGCTTACCTCATCATTTTCCTGAACCTCATGATTTTAAACCGGAGCGTTTTAGACTAGAAAATTCCGAAGAAAGACATCCTTACGCTTATATACCGTTCAGCGCAGGACCTCGCAATTGCATCGGTGAAAAAACAAATGTTTCATAGAAAAATAAAGATATTAGATATTTATATATGTATACTATTAAAAGCATTTTATGAAAGTCTTTCTAATATTTTTCTTCTAAGGAAAATATCGTATAATATATTGGTTTTTTTTTGTATTTTTTCAGGATATAAATTTGCTATACTCGAGATGAAATCAATCATCAGCGCCATTCTAAGGAAATGTCGATTAGAGCCAATTCTTGGTAAGGAAAAAGTAGTAGCCAAATTTCGAATGACGATCAGAGCACATGGTGGACTTTGGGTTAAAGTGAGAGCGCGATAAATGATAGGAATCAGAACGATTGGATTAATGAATCATTTTCAACTTTGATGACCTTATATAGAAAATATGACATCTTAAAGCTTAATGAAAATTTAATAAAAATAGGAAATTGTAATTCTGTTATTTGTATCTGACATTAAATGTAAACAAGAAAGTATACAAATAAATATATTAAAAATAAGATATCTTCAACAATATACAGTTTTTATTTATGTGCTTGGTATTATTTGCGAGCGAGTCCAGCATTATGTAGCATACTGTAGACCTTTTCTCTCGGAATTTTATCTGTTTCTCTGTCGATTACCTGTAAAAGCAAATAAATATTCTAGAAAATTATGCCAACCTACCTGATTTGTTTAATTATATTTGAATATATTTTACATTATTTAATTATAAAATAGAGCAATTATTTCTTTATGAAGCATTTGTTAACTATATGATGTAGAGCTGTTTATAACTATATTTATAATTGGAAGGAGCATGAAGAGCTATGTTTTTTTCAAAATTATTTATTAATTTATTTTATTTTTATTTCTTTTATAGGGAGAATCAAATGATTAAATTAATAATAAAAGTTACATTTTATTTTAAATTATGACAATTTTATACCTGCATTTCTTTATCAATAAACCAGGATTCTTTAGCAAGACTAGCAGCGATATTTGGATTTTTATAGAAATTATTTCGTAATTGGTTAGGCAAATTATCTTCCATTGCAGAATTAATTAAGACAGCTGGGTGGGCAAACGTCGCTTCAGAAGTTAATAAAAAAATTGGTGTAGCCGCGCAAGTTGTCACCATGATGAGTAGAATAATATTTGTGTAATTAGTCGACATTTGATGTTCTGAGTCTTTCGCTTTTCTAGAAAAACGAAAAAGTTCTTATCCAAGATAAAAGAATGATTAGTATTAAAAATTCAGTATTAAAAAAGGTCATTATTACATTAGATTCACATGCAATTTCTCATGTCGATAATGTAAACAATGTCCTTGTGTTATTTTACTTATTATTATGATAGATTATAAGATAAAATTCAGTGTCATATTTAGCTTCAAATAAACTAAATGATCACACAATATTTAATAAAATAAAGAGTAAATTAAAGTAAATCACTAGGGAGATAAATGGGGATCTAAAAACACAAAAAAGATTGATATGAACGTAAATCCGAAAATTCGTTATTTTCAAATGTTTTATCATTATTTTTATGTTGAAATTTGAAATTGCTTTGCTTTTGATTTTTTTTGTCAAAATTGAAAGAAGAAATGATCTGTATTGAGTTTTATAATTAAAATAAAATAAAAGTTACGAGTTGTTTTAGTATTATTCAAGATACAAATGCATTGTGGAGTCTGCTGAGAGATACTAAGCCGTATCTCCATGTGATGCATTCTATGTAGTAAAATGTACTAAAATAGCTTTTATTTATTTTAATAATTTGATTTTTTTGAAGAAATATAAGGTTTTCTGTATGGATCTGGAATAGCAGAATAACGCAAGTAAGCACAACTGTAAAATTGTTAATTATCTATTCAAAACTTTCTTATGATATAACACTAATTCTTTTCTTATAATAAACATTTATTTCTGTTGAAAAAATATTTTTTTATTACTTTAATACTACATTAAAATAGCATATAAATTGAAAAAAATTGATGGTAGAATTTTTTCTTTAAAAAAATTTCGACAAATCACTTAATTTTCAATGTGTTACGAGAATTCCCCGATAAATTAACAACTCACCTTTAACACTACAAAAATTTGCAGTACTTTGCGACAAAGTGTTTACCCGCGTTTACCAGCGCGTATCTGACTGAGCACAACATCCGCACAACAAGGCTTATATATATGCGTTACTCTACTACCAGTATTTTCGCTACAAGTTGAAATTATATCCAATATTCCTTGGTCATTCACTTGCCCACAGGCTTTGCTGACTCTTTCTTTCAAGTTTACCTTCAGACAAGGTTGCTAATCCCCCCGTCAAACTGAGTCAAGGGTAATGATCTTTTTAATTGTTATTTTAATTAAATATAGCAAGAGTATCTATCACAGTGTTATATCTCATTAATTTTACAAATGCACCAAATATTGCACAAAATATTGGTATCATGTCCTAATTATAAAAACATTCAATAGACATATGTAACTCTACATAATTTAAGTATCAGACGTCTTCTATACCTGAAAAAGGATTTAATTCTAAATCACAAATGAAACTGGAGCGGACAGTTTTATCACTTTCGCGATCGAATCACATGTAAATGTAAATAGCATTTTCAATATGGAGACTGTTTTCCGGATCGCATATTACGCTTGTCACGCTTTATCGTAACATACTCCGGAAACTGGATTCAGTTCTAGTCAATTCGTATTAGTTTTCTCTCGTGAGCATTATATTGTATCAGATAATTAGTAAACATATCACCATTTGATCTTACATCTAAATTATTCCCTCTAATTTTGATATTTTCTAATTTTCTTATTCTCTAATCTTTTAAATAAATAAATATTGTACAAATAACTAAATGTGAAAGTTTTAATATAATCGAAAGACTTCAATTTATGGAAATTCTAATACTACAAGTATCACGTGACATTCCTTACCTATACTGAAGAATTTTGAAAATTAATTTTCTACTGCGCTCGTACAATCTAATATAATTTATTTAATATAATATAATTTTTCCATTTAAAATATGATTTTATATGGTTTTATAATTTAATTGTACATATTATTGTACATATTATTTTATAAAGAGAGCGGAAAAGATGGAAAAGAGTAAAAGTCAAGTGGTTTGGAAATCTCATGATCGATATGAGAGAATGGAGCCACTCATATTATTGAGGTCAATGTTACGGCCTTAAAAGTAACTAACCACATAGTGGTTACCCTTGTCAGGTTTAACGTAGAAAGGTTTCAGGAAGTCAATACTATAGATTATAAACGTAAGATCTGATAGCTTACAAAGTATAAAATTTTGCATGGTTTGAAATAATAATTATTACATTGCTTTCTATACATTTTCATATATTTCTTGTGTTTTTATTGCATTGTATATTGCATTGTATATTGAATGAATTTACATCGCTACATGGAATAAAGTCGACTCACGATGTTAATATTGATAAAAAAACGACATAAGAAAAAAAGAAGATGGTAAATTTTTAAATATGTACAAATAATAAAGTAAATTAAGTTTATTGTCACCTAGAAAACATATCAGTTTTGATTATATAATTATATTACATTATTTGTGATTAAAAAAAGATATAAAAAAGATATATATATATATATATATATATTCTTTAATTACGTACTTACGTACTAAAAGTAAAAAATTTTGACATAATACATATCATGATATTAAATTTTTTAATTTTAATTAAACATTATATCTTAATATTAAATATATTTTTATAAAAAATTATTTAATATTTAATAATTTAAATTTAATTTAAATTTAATATTTTCATAAAGATACAACAAGATTATAAGAGAACAAAGAAATGTTTATTTAACAAAAAATATAATTTTTTATTGCATTTTTAAAGAAATTTCGGGTACTTCTTTTAATTTTTGTCTTTCTCTTCTTCTCAATCTTTAGCGAAAAGCATCCGTCGCAAAATTATTATAACAGGCAAATTTTTTGCAAATTTACTAACATTTTTCACTTAATAATAACTACTAAAACGTCGAAGAGATAATTTTCTGATAAACCGGAATTGCTGTGTGAGCTACTGCAGGTGTAAGAGTCTTCTCAACAATCGGTATAGATCCATGCACTTGCATATGATCTACATGAGCCGTCTTGATTAACGTAGGTTGTTGTATGGAAATTCTCTCAATCTTCGTAGCAGGTTCTACGATATCATATTCTTGAAAAGTCTCGATTGGTCTGCTAACAACAATACGACGAGTGGAAACACGTTCGCCGGTCGGTTCCGTATGTTCCGGAATTGACGTCGCGGAAAGAACACGTGCTCGGACGTGTCCGACATTAGTAATTGATGTTCCAGGTACATCATCACGATTAAAATTCAACTGAAAATTATATTTTGTCATTAAAAATTAATTTGTTAAATTTGAGAAAGATAAAATCGTGCGTGCGTGCGTGCGTGCCACTATTTACAAATAATAATAATATAATATCTTCTCTAATAATATAATATTCTTCTTTTTCAAAAAAAATTTTAAAAATGAAATCTTTCTCTCTCAGTTTCTCTTGATATATGATTTTAACCATACAAATGAAGCTTTACAGTAAAGATTTTCTTACATACCTCAACAACACCTCCGCGAGCAGTAAGGAGTTCTATTAGTCTGTTTTGATTAATTTTACTATTTTCAGGACTAATTTTCTGACTGGGTATCACAGCTGGAGAAGGATCATGCGCAGTAAATTGCACAATAGGCGTATCCATAGATATCTCATTTGATTCAGCGACTACACGAGGATGCGAAGTGCGAAGCTATAAAAGAAAAGATATTGCATTAATAAAAAATATATTTTGCAAGATAATTTTATATATTTATATATATATATATAATAAATAAATAAATATATATATATATATATATGAGTCTCTTTTAAAACTTTATATTTTTATAAAAAGGGCTATCTTTTTCTCTATAGAGAAACTAATGAAATCTCTATAATACTTTAGAAAATTTTTGCCTTTTCGTAATATGCTTTTTATTTTTTAACTTTATTGTAAAGATGAATATTTAACAGATATATTAAAATTAGAGGCTCAAAATTAGATTCTTCTTTACATTACAGACAGATTTAAAATTAAGATCTTTGGTATTTAAGATTGTTTACCTGAGGAGAGCGCGCTTGATTGGCAGTTCCACGAAAATCAGGGTTTTCAATCACAACAGATTCATTTTCCAAATTATTGGAATCAGAGGTAGTTGGTAAAGGTGTCGATGAAGGAGGTAACAAGGGTGATGGTGTTGCATGAATGGTTGATGCATGAGAGATGACAGGCGCAACCGTAACGTGAACAGGTGCATGTGCAATTACAGGAATAGCGGCTGATGCAACTGGTGCATCGGTGATAGCACCGGCATGAGCGTAAATATCATGGATTTGAGGATAAGATAGAGGTAGATTTTGAGTTAAAGGTTGGATCACGGCTGGTCCTTTCTGTGTCTTGGATGTTGGCTCGTCGAGCTCAACTACGGCTGATCCAACTGGACGAATAATTACTCGTTCTTCAATATCATAAAATTGTTTTTGGATCGCTGGACGACGTACCTGATACATAATTATTACGCACAAATACACATACACACATATATATATATATACATACACAAAACCACATATTCCATTCATAGAAAAATTTATATGTTAAAATTAGTTTTAATAAAAAGTTAATTGGCGTATAAACTTTGTACTGATATAAATGCATTGGTATATATCATATCGTCATATTGTCATGCCATCATTATCATAGTGTTACCATATGTTAGTAGGCTGTTTTTCAGCATATTTGTTTGTCAATTGCATTTCAGGTATACCTACCTCAATCTTTCGAGTAGTAACTGCAGGCTTTATTACGTCGACCTGTTTCTGTAGTATACCAGGTTGGGCTTCGATTGTGGTAACCGGTACCTGGGAAATTGTCGGCACATACTTGATAAAAGGTACCGCGGCTACCGTGGGTACTTGAGCGGCCGCATATCCGACGTGATGCGTTTCAATCTTGGTGGAAGGCGCAGATGCTGCATATCGAAGATGAGTCGCGACAGTTTGTAGTGGTGTATCCGCAGAGGTATATACGAAAGATGTCTTTTGTGTGTCAAAATCATTCACATAGGTCACCCCCGCCGGATTCAAGTATGGCATCTTCACAGCCACATGATCGCACAGGCCAATGTGCAGTAGTGCTGCCGTTATTATAAATAACCGCATTCTAAAAATAAAACGCAATATAGAAATCAGTTTTAAATAATCGATATAAAATCAATTTCAATTATTGAATTATTTCAGTTATTAAAATTATTATGATAAAATGCAATTGTAATTAAATAGATCAAATTAAAATTGATAGACGTACTGCAACTAACGGTAAAAGTTCAACAAAGTAATTTATTGTTTAACAACAAAGTAGCCTTAAGTAATAATTGTAAAAAGAATTTATAATAAAAATAAAACAATTTACTTAATGTAAATTGTTTTTTTGCAATATTTAATTTTAATTGTAATTTTTTAAATTAAATCTATGTAATTGTACATTTATTTATTAATCTAATAGCACATTTAATATTTCGTATACTTATTAATAAAATTTTAATAATAAAAAAGATTCTTCTTTTGTGTATGTGTGTGTTGGGGAGGGGGGGGAGCAAGTGAGTAAGCGAGCGAGAAGGGGAGACAGAGAGAGAGAGAGAGAGAGAGAGAGAGAGAGAGAGTGTGTTGTTTTTTTGCTGTATAGATTCTTATAAAGTATACATCTTAAAGAAGCAATAACTTAAATAATAATTAAGCACTGATTTCTAAATAAAATACAGAGATTTTGATTTCTAAAAAATTTTGCTATAATTATGGTTTAATATTTAGTAAAATGATCTTCACGCACCTCCGAAACACGGCGGGTTTACGATGCATGAAGCGACGAAGGGTTGTAAAACTATGTCCTGATTGTGGCATTCGAGCTTGCTTATATGGACACATAGTGGGCATATAACCGCTCTTCCAGCAAAGACCATACCGATGCCCCTTCCAATGATTCAAAGACCTGGTTTGCCAAGTCCGGTCAAAATTAGGTCAGCCTGCTTTTGTATGTCAATTCAACTTCACAAATTCAGTTCATATTGATTAAATCGGTAATGAATATTCTACAAATCAGATCTGTTTATTTCGCAAGGTATGTAGGTTTATTTATAAATAGATGGATATTTACCAGTCTTTAATTCTAATAGAAGTTATTGATAATTGTATGATTATTATATTATATTCCATTGTTTTAAAATATTCCATAAAATAAATTTTTGCTCAAACATTCTATACGGATATATACTGTGAACATTTATATATAATTTGAATAACGATTACAATAATTTGAATTTAATGAAGTCTACCAATTCATTATGAATAATTGATCGTTATGCTTATTCAGAAAATAGTTTGGTAAATTGCTCAGCAAACAATTTTACTTAGCACAATGATATAATAATTAAATAATACTTGAAAAATTAAGATATAATATTAATATTTTCTAGACATTCTAATATTCCAATATATGTGTTAAACATAATTGTTTTCTTGAATTTACAAACAAAATATCTTTGATATAAAATATCTTTGTAAAATATCTTTGAAAAAGTTGTAGGATTTCGAAGGCCATATGATTACGATATTGATTCATTTACAAATGACGCCATTGTCAGTTAAGATTTTTTTTATGATAACTATTTTTTTAAATAGAATTATATGTTTTTATTATGATTTCGTTATTCTAAAGTTATTCTAAATAAAAAAATATTAAAATACAAATGTCAAAAGTTAATTGAGATATTTATATTTTATATATTATTATGAGAATATTTTATATTTTATAATTAATATTATAATCATGTGTCTCTCCTTTTCTAAAACTTTATAACTTTTATTTGAAATATTTTTCTTAAAAATGTATTGTTCAAGAGATATTTGAGGTTGATATTTAAAATGGGACACTCTATACTAATGATAATTCTATCATCTTTTGTTATAATTCGTGTTAATCGTTATAATTTTTATTATAACAATTATTTATGTTTTGTCAATAAGTCCAAAAATAGAGCGAATCGCATATTCTTAAGATATTCTTGAATGCCGCTAAAAAGCCAGTCGTCCTTCGTAACTCACCAAACCTATAATTTCCAAAAGTATATATATGTATATACATATTTTTACGTGACTTATTTCTACATAATCGTACGTATCATAAAAAAATATTACTGGTTACGCACGTTGTATTTTTTAATACTTTATCTTAATAGAATTATTTATCCATAAACAGAATTTATCTTCTAAGACATATAGATTCTAAAATATGCTAGTTTGATTTTAATGATAAAGCTCTGATAAATATAAAATTGATTAGAAAATTAATAGAAAAGAGAGAAAAAAAAAGAAGGCGGGAGGGAGAGAGAGAGAGAGAGAGAGAGAGAGAGAGAGAAGAGAGAAGAC